GTATTCGTCTAAATTTCTCAATCACCCACCCTCACATCTGTTCAGGCTGTAACTCGCCCGTCGACACGAATGGAAGACATAGTTTACATTGTCGCTCCTACAATGGTCGATTCATTAGACACAGGCAATGTAATTCAACCATCCCACGCCTTGAAATCAGCACAAATCCCATCCATACTTGAACCTCAGGGTCTTTCAGATCTGATGGTAAACGTCCAGACGGCATCACTCAAATTCCGTGAAGGAGAGGCCAATTATTAGTATGGGGCTTTTCTTGTATTGACCCCCTTGCCCCATCTAACCAGACACTCAACATCATTGACCTGAAAGAACAGCTTAAAACCTCGAAATACACAGAAATTACTAATGATCATTGTTTCATTCCAAATATTACAACCACACTTGCCACCTTCGGCAAACTTGCCTTAGCTTTTTTCAAAAATTTAGGATCTCAAATCAGCAAATATTCGGGTGAACTCCTTTTGTCGCATTTTAATTATACGTTCATATATTCATTATTTTTTATTATATACATTTGATTTTTAATTCAAATTTATGTGATTTGATTTTGGAATTTTCATATATATTTTTTTAATCTAGTTTTTTATATACATTACAATATGTGTTTTCTTAATAAACAAACTTGTTGGCTAATTATAAAAAAAAACTATTAAATAGGTATTCTTATATTTTTAAATTTTTAATATTCTGTTAAAAAATATTCGTCCATTAAAAATCACCATAGAATCATATCTTATCAATCATTCATTTATCTTCCATTACCATAAAACCATTACTATCTTATACATCATCTGACTAGAACTAACTGATATATCTATAATATATATAAAAGCCGTCACACTCTCATTGTCAGAGTCACATCACAAAAATCGTGAACTTTGAAAAGTGTCTTTGGCCTAATCGGTAAGCGTCGAATCTGATAGACTTAGGTTCGAATCTCAGCAATGATTATTTTTTTTATTAATCCAACTTGGTGGTTCCGTCCTTTGAGATGTTACTGGTGGTAAATGCATGGAAAAAAAAAGTGGCAGACGCATATCATTTATAAATGGATTCTTTGGCAGAGGTAAAATCCATTATGATCTGCTGTTTCTGATGTCATCCTGATTAGAGGTCTGCAATGGGCAAGTTTTGGTACACCTGTCTGCTCACTTATTTAAAAATTTTGTTTTACTTGCCTGTCCAATGTATAAAAATTATTATATTAGTAGATTTGGCTCTTTATGTATTATTTTAATTTTTTATTACTTAAACTATATAATAAAAAAATGACATCTATTAATATCAATCGAAAATCTATAATAATATATATAAAAGGCGTGTCACAGTCACAATGTCACTGTCACAGTGTCACAATTTATAATATATATTTAAAAATACACGATTTTTTAAAAAGTATCTGTGGCCTAATCGGCAAGAGCTTCGCTCACAAATTTGAAGGTCATGGGGTTCGAGTCCCAGTAAATATATTTTTTACTTAATCTGGCAATGGGACTTTTAGTTAAGAAAAACAACGTACACAAATTTTCTTGTAAAAATGTTTTATTTCTTTCAATTTCAGTACAAAAAAATATATATTTTATAAACGCGAAGAATGAATACAAATATTAATTTTTCTTTTCTTTTTTTACATAAACTTTAGAGGTAAGACTTACGGACTTTTAGTTAAGAAAAACAACGTATACAAATTTTCTTGTAAAAATGTTTTATTTCTTTCAATTTCAGTACAAAAAAAAATATATTTTATATACGCGAAGAATGAATACAAATATTAATTTTTCTTTTCTTTTTTTACATAAATTTTTTAAAAAAATCAATAATATCAAATCAATATATATTTTTCTTTACACTTTTCATCAATAACCTAATTTCAACACAAAAAATCAATACATTTTTATATCATATCACAACATGTACCCTCTTCTAAGGATAAAATCCAGGGTACATGCTAATAAAAATTTCCTTTTAATATGCACTACAAAAAAAAAACTATTACCTCTAAAATTTATTTATATAAAAAAAATATTCACACCACAAAAAAAAATCATGGGACCGGAGCGTTTATGAGGGACTCCTCTATAGAGTCGCTCATTTCCACCTCCGTTCCGCTTTCGTTAAAATTATTATTTTTTTGACCCTCATTTTAGAATTCCTAGTTCCATCCTGAATTTCCCTTTTACCCAAATTCTTCATCACTCCACATGAAACAGTTTCGGCTGCTGGAAGGAATTTATACATCAGACTCCGTTCCGCAAAATCTTCTGCTTCCCTAGCTATTAATCGTGAATCGTCTATTATCCTCCGCTGTTGCCCCCCAGCCCAACGATTGAGCCCATTGTTCAACGTGTACGATGTGCTCACCCCGCTTGCGCACTCCCTAGCTTTATGTCCCCGGTCCACCACAATTGAAGCAGTTTATGTTGGTTCCTCTCATCCCCAGTTGTCGCATTGGAATAGTAGCCGGTCCAGACGCGTAATTTGCATGTAACGCCACCTTTCCTTGCGAGGACATAGGACCATACGAGTATGTTTGTGTTGCTCCTTCTCCTGTTTGTTGATCAATCCACAAATTATGCCATTTGTCAGCCAATGGGTTAGCCATATCCAAAGAATTCACCTGAATCATAGTTCTATGGGCCTTAATATAAAATGTCTCCATGAATTAAAAATAATTTTTCTTTTCTTCTTTGTTTTATAAAAATTTTCAACAAAAACTTTTTACCTTTCAAAACAATTTACAAAACTAGATAAAACCGATAACACAACAATTTCTTCTTAATTAATAATTTTTTTTTTTACTACCAGCAAAAATTAATAAAATACTATTATTATTATTTCTTCCTTTTTAATAAAACACTAACATAACACATACCAAACTTGAAAATAACACAATTTTTCCTTTACATCTCTTTCTTTAACTTTAAAAATATTTTACATATTACCCTACCAGTTGTTTTTTTTTCTTTTTTTTTATCCTCAATTCCTTCTTATTTTTTTAAAAAATTTCTCTTTTACACCATACGCCGCCTAAATGCGTTCCCCCTCTTATTAGAATTTTCCTTTTTTTTTAAACTCTCAAAAATTCTATTTTAACTTTTTATAACTTTTATTTTACCAACTTCTCTAATTAATTATCTCCTTTAACATTGCCCTCAATTATTTATTCCCTTTTTTCCATAAAATTTCTTCTGAATTTGAATTAATTAAATAATTCACTAATAATAACAGAATGAGTTAATGCAACACACATTCTTTATTCACTCCAAAATTTCAAAACATAATGGGTTAAATACAACACATAACTAATTCTTTAGCGATTGTCCTATGGCCACTTAACCCCATTTCCGACTTTTATACTTTCTACCAACTCTCAATTTATACATATTTACATTAACGGTCAACAAATTAAGGTTGGCTGCCCTTAAAGAGTCCCCAATTCTCCAAAATTTCCTTCTACTTTTATTAATTTTTTCCATATTCATTCAAAAGGCACTCTACGTACTGCACAATATTGTGGAATGTATCCTTCCTTCAAACGTATATCTACTTCATAATCTATTAAACGACCTAATTTTTCATCAAAAATATCTTTATATTTATTTACCAAATCCTTAACTGGCTCCTCTAAAATTCCTAAATCATGACTTCCATCAATTTCTTCTGTTATTACACTATCATCACCTTTTTTCCTTACCAATTTCACCGGAAATTTTTGTGATACAGGTATTTTCTCTCTTTCTAAATTTGAATCCTTACATATTTCCTCATCATTTATATAACTTTTTTTCAATTTAAATTTTTCTGAAATTACTTTACCCTCTTCCAAAATCGATTCCTTTCCACGAATTTCCACAAAATTGACAGTTCCCGTATTCACCAAATTATCATCGTTTTTTAAATCAATAAATTTCTCAAATTCCTGATTATTTATTATATTTACTTCACTATTTTTATCTGAAACATCAGGTTCCTCCTGACATATTTCATCCTTAAAAATTTCAACATTTTCCTGAACTTTTCGAAATTACTTACCAAATTTTTAATTTTCTTCCACCTCGTTTTTTTATTTTCTAAAATTTCCTTTTTCTTAATATCACTAAGTTCCATATCACTAATTATTATATTTTCAAATTCATCTTTTTGTTCTTCGAAATTACTCACTAAATTCTTAATCTTATCACGTTTCATTATTTCATTCTTCCACATTTCCTTTTTTCTATTATCACTAATTTCCTGATTATTAATCTTTACATTTTCAACTTTAATTTTCTCAATAATCAGATCTTTTTCCATTTTATTTTCCATCTTATCGATACCCATTTCTTTTATAGAGATTTCCGGTATTCTAATTCTTTCATTATTTTTATTTTTTCCTCGAAACATATTCCAAAAATTATTTTCTAACCCAAACTTTGATATCCAAGACCATCCCATAATAGCACCAATTTTTTCTTTTAATATCCACAAATCCAAATATATTATTTCTTCATTTACCAAAACCGGTAAATTTACCCTTCCCACTACCATAACTTCAGATCCATTTAATTGTTTTATTCTCATTTTATCTTTAATTATAAATTTATTTGGCCATAATTCCTGAAATTCATCATACCCCATAACCGAAATGGTTGCCCCTGTGTCTAATAACATCCATATTTATTTATTCTCTATATTAATTTTAACCCATGGGCATTGATCATAATTCCTACTATCCTTCAAATTAAAGATAGGTAAATTACATATTTGATTTTCTTGATTTAAATCCTCCAATATATTTTTACGAAACCCATAATTCTTATTATCATTTACTCCCTTTTCCATTTTTATTTCATTATCATTCAGTAAACCTGTAAACATAACTTTATGATCCAATATATTCTTTGATGACACTCCTCCTGATGTCTTTACTTTACTATCATACAGTCATTCTACTGTACAATCCTTCGCATAATGCCCAATATTTCTACATTTATAACAAGTTACATCCGCTCTGTTATTTCTTTAAACATATTCTTCTGTTCATTTCCTACATAGTCTACCGCTGGAAACGCTTTAGAAATTCCCTGCTCATTTTTATAACAATTATCTTTATTATGCCCTAAATTCCCACAATTTTCACAAGAAATCACATTTTTTTTGTTCCCATTTACCAATTTATATGCCGGAACATAACATTCTTCCGCAATATGTCCTTTATTTCCACATCTTTTACATATTTTTGGTAATACTCTTGGATTTACTTTAGCATTACATTCTCTGCTTAAATGCCCAACTTTTCCACAATTATAACATTCTTTTTGACTTTTATAACTTTGTTCTATCCTTTTATTTACATTTTTATCCTCCAATTCCTTTATTTTTATTTTCATTTCTGCCATTTCTATTTTCAGTATTTCTTCCTCTTTTCTCTTTAATTCAATTTTTTCTTTTTCTTCTTTTTTCTTTAATTCCATTTCCTCTATTTTCTTCTTTTCCGCTTCCCATTGTTCTCTCATATCTTTTTTCAATTTTTCAATTTCTATTTCTCTCTTTTCCTGTTTTATTCTTTTAATTTCATCATTTTCTTTTTTCCTATTTTCAATTTCTATTTCCTTTTTTTCTTGTTCTATTCTTTTAATTTCATCATTTTCTTTTTTTCTATTTTCAATTTCTATTTCCTTTTTTTCCTGCTCAATTTGCTTTAAACATCTTATTCTATTTGTTTATTTCCATTTTTCTTATACCATAAATATCCCACAATCCATAAAATTATTATCACAATTATACTCGCATATATTTCTCCCAGTGCTAACTCTTTAAATTCAAAATAATTTTTAGTGGTAATTATTTTTCTATTACACATTTCTTTAAATTTTTAACTATTTATTTTTTTTTTAATTTCAATTTTTTATATTATAGTAAGCTTATTAGTAATTTTATTAAAAATTTTTTTATTATTTTAAAAGTAAAACAATAAATTATAGCCATAATTATTAATATTACCAAAAAACAATTCATATAAATTTATATAAAAAAAATATTTTTACCTTTTTTTTCGATTTTTTTTTTTATACTTTTCGGCCTTTAATCTATATAATGGTAGTCAATGGTTTTCCGCCTAACCTAATTACAAAGTAGGTATCTTTAAATATGCACGGCACCACTGTGGTGATCTCTTTATGCTTAGTGGTAAGACTTACGGATTTTTAGTTAAGAAAAACAACGTACACAAATTTTCTTGTAAAAATGTTTTATTTCTTTCAATTTCAGTACAAAAAAATATATATTTTATAAACGCGAAGAATGAATACAAATATTAATTTTTCTTTTCTTTTTTTACATAAACATTAGTGGTAAGACTTACGGACTTTTGGTTAAGAAAAACAACGTACACAAATTTTCTTGTAAAAATGTTTTATTTCTTTCAATTTCAGTACAAAAAAAAAATATATTTTATATACGCGAAGAATGAATACAAATATTAATTTTTCTTTTCTTTTTTTACATAAACTTTTTTAAAAAAATCAATAATATCAAATCAATATATATTTTTCTTTACACTTTTCATCAATAACCTAATTTCAACACAAAAAATCAATACATTTTATATCATATCACAACACCCCTGCCGAATCCTTTTGTCAGAATCTATGACACGTGTGCTGAATAAAGGCGTTTTAATGTTGTATGTCTCTAGGAATTTTGAATAAACAGAAAATTTGGGATAAAAACAATTTATGAAATGTTCACGAAATTTGCTATTGAAAGCATTTTTAAAGTCTACTTTGATAATAGCATGTTAGGAGGAGGATTTTGGAATACAAATGGCATGCGAAGGTATGTCTTCTCCCTTAACACTAAATCCTAATTGATAAGTATACTTAATAAGTTAAGACCTTGAGTTTTGACCCATGGCAATTATTTTTGCCAATAATCTTCTAAATAGCCCATTGCAATGGGGTGGATACCACAACAGTGTTTGTGAGATAATCAGGTGCCCCCATAATTGATTCGAATCTATGATGGCAGGCCTTTTTTAAAAAGAGTATTTAGGTAGGTTTTAAAAGCATTTAAATGATTTTTTGAGAAGAATGTAGATTTTAAACGAAGTGAGAGAGCAAAAACCATTGCGTCTGGATGTGGAAAATTTCTTAAAATAATTGATAGATATCATACTCACAAATCATATTTTTTTTAATCCATATTTTTCATAATATATTTTGCCTTTGCTCTAAAAATTTATAGAAATCTTGGAAGGATGAATACGGATAATCTATTCCTCTCATTTGACTATTATTCTGATTCATTCATCGTCAAATAAAGGTAAAATTAATTATTTATCCATACGGAGAAAATTCTGATTACCCGTCATTCTTGACGGGCTATCAGCTAGTATATTTAATAATTAATAACAGCATTTTTGTGCAAAATTAATTTCGAATTTATATTTGATGAATACATATTATTTAGATTAGTGATCTGCATCGGGCCTAATTTTTCAAGCCGGCTTGTCCAAAATATTTTTAAAAATTTTTGACGGCCGGGCCAGAACCCGATTTTTTTTAAAAAAACTTTACCAGCTCGGTGTAGTATTGTAAAAACAATATCATCTAAATTCAATACGGTATTGATTCTATAATATTATAAAATCAATACCGTATTGATAATTTATGACCGAACCTCAACTTTAAGAATAAAACCTAAAATTTATGAATGAAATCGGTACATTTAAATTTATAATTATATTTATATCAAGCAATAATAATTAAATATCAAAATAGGAGAATATAAGTAACAGAAAAATATCATTTGCTGCTAATACTTAGTGGCAGAAAATACATTTCCTTTACTGCTTTAAAATATCAAAATTTTTTAATGATGTTACACTTAAATTTATAATTATAATTTTTTATAAACAAGTACAGATAAATGTCAAAAATATTTTTTATTGCTAATACTTATAACAGGAAAATATTCTTCTTTATTGCTAAAATATCACAAAATTTTTAATGAATCAAATTGATACATTTAAATTTATAATTATATAAATTGCTGCCAATACTTGCTTTAAAATATCACCTAATTTTTAATGAATCAAATTGGTACATTTAATTTATAATTATATTTATATCAAGCAATAAAAATTAAATATCAAACAATAAGAGAATATAAGTAACAGAAAAATATCATTTGCTGCTAATACTTAGTGACAGAAAATATCCTTCCTTTACTGCTTTTAAATATCACAATTTTTTAATGATCAAATTGGTACATTTAAATTTATAATTATAATTTTATATCAAGCAGGAACAGATAAATATAAAAATATCCTTTATTGCTAATACTTATAACAGGAAAATATTCTACTGCTCACAAAATTTTTAATGAATCAAATTGGTACATTTAGATTTATAATTATAAATTTTATCAAGCAATAGTAGATAAATTTCAAACAATAATAGAATATCTAGTAACAGGAAAATATCCTTTACTCCTTAAAAATGATCCAGGTAAAAAAAAGTAATTTTAGATGTACGGAAAACAATTTTATTGTTAAAGAAGATATTTATAGAAAAATAAAGAATAAAGAAGGTAAATGTGATCACAAAATAATAATTTCTATTTATTTATTAGCTTTAGTAATAATGGATGAAGCAGAGAAACAAAGGGTAATATCTATTATTCACCAAGGATCAGATATATCCCTAGAATCTAAAGCTATTGGTGCCCATCTAGGCATTAATAAAACTCAACTTAAACTCTCTGAAAGGTATTTATTATGGTGTTAATTTGTTTATTTTGTGTTTATAGATATTGGTGGACAAAATTATTTCAAGACACTATTGATTTTATAAAATCATGTGATAGATGTCAGAAGGCCAATACAAGATTTTCTAAAATTTCTTCTACTTTGAATCCAATAGATGTACCACCTCTTCCATGGGCTCAAATAGGAATTGATCTTTGCAGCCTGCCCACTTCAGAAGAAGGCTACACATGTATTGCAGTTGCCTCTGATTATTTCACAAAATGGGTTGAGGCAGAACCTATGAAATCAAAGACAGCTGAAGAGACTTGTAAATTTATTTATGGTCGGATTTGCCGCCATGGCAGCGCAACTGTAAATCAAATTATATAAATATATATCGGTTAAAAAATGTGCATTTATGATAATTTATAAACTTTTGATTTTATAAAATATAGATACAAATCAATGATCAAGAGAGTTTGTGAATGAAATAGCCACGAGATTACATAAAATGACAGGAACGGAGCAACACATTTGCAGTGCATATCATCCTCAAGCTAATGGGTTGACAGAAAGGAATAATCGTACTATTCAAAACTTAAGGTTTTGAGTGATGATCAAACACTATGGCCTAGGGTTCTTCCGGGGGTATTATTTGAAATGCAAACCAGTGTCCACAAATCTACAGGATTCACCCCATTTTATATGATGTATGGTCGGAACGCAAAGCTGCCATCAGAAATTCGAAAATTGAGCCAGATATTGTTAAGGAAATCAATAATAATATTGAGAATGACTTTGAAGAGAGTGAATTATTAGAAAGAATAATGAGCCTATCAGTCGTATGGAAAAGGGCAAAAGAAAATATACTTGTTGCCCAAGATAGACAAAAAAGGGATTATCAAAAAAGGCAAAAGGATAAAATCCCTTATGAGTCGGGCAACAGGTCCTGATCTGGAACTCACGACTGCGGATAGAAAGGGTGGAAAAATGTCCGAATCGCTGCTTGAGCAAAGAGATCACAGGCAGCGAGGATCACCATGCAATTATAAGGGGATCTATAATCTCTTATATGATGCTGTTGGAATAATGATTTTACTGATTTTATGGGGAAGGATATAATAAAACATTTGGTTGATACACAAAAAACATCAACTTGGAACGTGGGGGTATGAATTAGATATCGTAGCATCTGCTACGTTTTTCCAGAAGCCAATTATTATTTATTGTAAAAATGGAAATGAAATATATTACATATTCTGCATTATCAAAAATGGACTGATTTTTAATTTAAATATACATTTGATAAATGCATCTTCAGATCATTTTAATCGTATTATAGTGTAATATACACTCAATTTTTGTGATAATTATGTTTCCTTTTTTGGGATATATTTTCTTTTTATAATATTTTTCTTGTTTTTTAGAAATAAAATTATGTATATCCTTTTTATTTAAATAGTAGGGGAGACCGGGTTTATATTGTCCATAAAAAATTGAGAGGCTGTGAAAAGGAGGAGAAATAATTTATCAAAATAATTTTGATGTTATTTTATTCTTTATATAATTATCTACGGTAGAAATTATATCTAATAAAAAAATATATAATATTTTTTTAAATTTAAATTTAAAAAAAATGAAAATTTTTGAGTCATCAAAAAGAGACGGGGGACGTATTATACTTTTGTGGGGCATGTTTTAGACTATCATTTTCTAAGCATTTTATTCATTTTTTTCATATAAAAATCATAACAAACATATAATATT